AGAAAAATGGGCGAGGCCCAAGAGCAAGACTAATGTTTGAAGAAAAAGCATTTCTGTCATGGCCACGATGATTCTGATTATATTCATCATTTTCTGAATAATTTTCACTGGCAACGTATGAACTTCCATTCACAGAAGGGTTTTCCTTTCTGTTCCCTTTTAAGGGCTCCAGAGGCATCCGTTGACTGTTGGGTGCACGCCAGTGTTGTCGGAGCAGTGTTCCTGGGAAGGCAGGGACCCAGAACCCTGTCGTGTTTCTGTGTGACTCCCAGGTGACAGAATCTCAGCATGGATCCCCTCGGGGGGTCAGATCTGGTGGGAATGAAAGCCTGGTGATAGGCTTCGGGAATATTCTTACCCCAATTCATCTTAATTGTGAGAAGTTTGACAATGCAGAGGCAAGGGATGGGGAGTCCTGCCTTGCCGGCCTTGGCCTTACTGCCTGCGAGCTAACATGGGAGGCACGGGAAGTTCCTTGAGAAGGCAAGGAGTGGAAGCCGGGCGCCTGCCGGGGGGGCATCAGGCAGACGTATACTCCCTGGGTTTGGCCTGAGCCCACCAGACAGAGCCCCAGGAAGAGAGTCCTGGTGTTGGGTGGGCATGGGGGAAGAGTATGCTCCCCTTTGAAGGTGGGGTTGAGCCTTATAAACACATCTGTTCCAGGTGGAACTCGAGTCTCCTCCCTAACATAGTTTGATCCCCAGGAGCAGTGAAGCCAGTCTTAGGTGTGATCTCGCCTCCCAACCCCATGTCCATTCCGTCAGCAAATCCTACCAATGCCATCTCCCAATTGTTTTTGGAAACTGCTAGTCTCCGTGCCCTCCACCATCACCCTATCCCAGCCACCACCATCTTTTACCAAGGGCCTGGGACAGGCAACTACAGTGGGCTTGTCATTGGTTCCATGTCTCACCTTCCCTTTTCACTGATATTCCTGTGAACCTTTTACAAACAAAGCAAAGACAAATGCATTTGTTGCACATCTACTGTATTTTAATTATCTGCTTCATTCATTCATTTGCTAAAGATTTATTGAGTATCTACTCTATGCCACATGTTCTGTCTTAGCTGGCACCCTGGAACACACTGTGACCCCTGTCTCTGTGTGTGTTGAGTGCTAGCCTGGAACCATTGCAGAGTTAAGCGTCTCTGTTCTCAGTGAATGATTACTATGAGGATTTTTTTTTTATTTGACAGGTAGAGTTACAGACAGTGAGAGAGAGACAGAGAGAAAGGTCTTCCTTCCGTTGGTTCACTCCCCAAATGGCCACTACGGCTGGTGCTGTGCTGATCTGAAGCCAGGAGCCAGGTGCTTCTTCCTGGTCTCCCATGCAGGTGCAGGGCTCAAGCACTTGGGCCATCCTCCACTGCCCTCCTGGGCCACAGCAGAGAGTTGGACTGGAAGAGGAGCAACCAGGACTAGAACTGGCATCCATATGGGATGCCGGCCCTAACCAAGTGAACCATGACGCCAGCCCCAACCATGAGGATGTTTTAAAGAGAGAAAAATCCATATTGATGCTGAACCATTCTATTTTTTTCATGCAATGATGAAAAATTTCAAACAGCAAGCTGAGTTTGGAAAGTGAGCCAACCAAGAACCCACCACCCAAAATTAACACGTGGGAACAATGAATCCTATTTGTGTCAAATTTTTATCAAAAAAAAAAAAAAAGAAAGAAAAAACCTGCTGTGTTTACTGTTGAAGCCTCTCTGTGTCCCTCCCTGATCCCATTCTTCTAGGCAGCCACTGCCCTCGGGTCGGTGTGTTCTTCCTGCTCATGTTCAACACTTTGATTATCTCTAGGTGTATTTATAACCTCTCTCTCCACTTGTGGATTTAAGAAATTAACATAAGTGATACCATGATGTAAATATTCTGTAACTCGCTTTTAAAAATTCAAACATTATGTTTTAGAAATTCATCCATGCTGATTGTATGGATTAAAGCACACCCATTTTTTTTTTTGGACAGGCAGAGTGGACAGAGAGAGCGACAGAGAGAAAGGTCTTCCTTTTCTGTTGGCTCACCCTCCAGTGGCCGCTGCGGCCGGCACACTGTGGCCGGCCCACTGCGCTGATCTGAAGCCAGGAGCCAGGTGCTTCTCCTGGTCTCCCATGTGGGTGCAGGGCCCAAGCACTTGGGCCATCCTCCACTGCACTCATGGGCCATAGGAGAGAGCTGGACAGGAAGAAGAGCAGCAGGGACAGAATCCAGAGCCGTGACCGGGATTAGAACCTGGTGTGCTGGCGCTGCAGGCGGAGGATTAGCCTAGTGAGCCGCAGCACCAGCTGCACACCCATTTTAATCGCTGTATAGTATTCCAGCCTACGAATGACCTACTGTGGGTTATTTAGGTGGCTGACACTTTTAAAAATATTTGTTTATTTGAAAGGAAGAGTGACAGAGGTGGGGGGACTCATCCATCTACTGGTTCACTCTTCAAATGCCCGCACTAGCCAGGATTAGGCCTAGCTGAAGCCAGGAGCTAGGAACTCCATCTGGGTCTCCTGCACAGGAGGCGGGGACTCCAGTGTTTGGGCCCTCAGCTGCTGTCTCACAAGCGCACTGGCAGGAAGCTAGGTCAAAAGCAGAGTGCCTGGGACTCGAATCAGGCCCTGTGGTGTGGGGAGAGGGCGTCCCGGACAGTGGCCTGACCGGCCGTGCCGCAGTGCCAGGCCCTGCTGCTGCTTTTCCTCATGACAAACACGGCCGCAGTGAATGTTTTCCTATGCCTCTCCTTGGGCACACACCAGATATTTGTTTATCTTCAGTCTTTAGCACATATTGACAGATGGGTTTTCACGGAAGTTATCTTGTGATGCAGTAGCAAACGCTGTAGAATCGGGAGCTGGGGGACTTCGTTCTAGTCCAGTTCTGGCACCAACTCACAGTGTGACTTGGGCCTCTCCTTCGGCCTCAGTTTCCCCGTATTTAAGATGAGAGCTGATAAGGAGCAGCAGATCTCTGCAGTGCCTGCCTCCTGAGCTGGTCAAATACGTGTTTTCTAGAAAAGTCTTCCCTCCCAGGAATAAAGAACTCTCCCAGAGGCGGGCTTGCTGGAACTGAGGGCAGAGGTGGTTAATACTTGTTGGGAACCTACTGAGAGTTGGTGCACTCTTGGTTTGCCTATTCCAGACTCGAGGTTAAATGACTTTCCAAAGACCACAGAGCTAGGTAGTATCAGAAGTGGGACTTGAACCCTGGTCTGAGGGATTTCAAAGCCTCGTTCCTGTTTACCGTACAAGCTGTCCCTGTGTTGTCACAGGGTCATTTTTTGCGACACCCTCATCTGGGTTGTTGTAATGACATTTTCCTGGGCAGCTCAGTGAGCAGGCCTTCGATTTCGAGGGGCCCTTGCCTTAGGCGGAGACTGAAGAGCCAGATGCTTCTCCAAGATGTGAGAAGGGGCTCAGAAAGAGGCTTCCTTTGGAGGGAAGATAGAGAGCAAATGGGACTGATCCAAAGGCCGAGGACGTTTCAGAGGATGAACTCCGAAGGCATTTATCCTGCAACCACAGCTAATGAGCCAGTAAGGAAATGGTATCAATAAGAAGCAAATTGAACACGAGCTCCAGTTAATTCATAAGCACAGCTGCCTGCCTTCCTGCATTCAATTTCAGACCCACATTATGAGTCGCCTCCCTGGAGAAACCAGCCCCTCCCCCCTCGAGAAAGGGCCTGGAGCCAATAAACCAACTTTTAATAGACAGCATCTTTCAATCGGAGGACGGCAACTTATCTCTGGGCCCTGGTTCTGTGGTGACACAAACTCTCTGAGCTGCCCAGTCTCACTCAAGGTTAGTGATTAAGGTATAATTGAAATGAGATTAATTGCAATAAATGTGTAATTAGCACAGCCATTGATTAAGGGCATTTGAAATGCGGTCTGTGCATGAGACACTGATTGCCACGCTTTTTGATAAATGTAATTGCAATGATATCTTTTGTTACTCCAGAAGGTCTCCTTTGTGTAATGAATTTCCACAGGAAGGACTGGTCTTGAAGCCAGCTGACTTCCTGAAAATCAGAGGGGTAAGAAGAATATTTCAGGCCCAGTTGTCTTGTGTTCAGGCTCCTTTGCCCATATATTTTTTGTAGGGTTTATTCGAGGGCTGCTTCCCAGGCCATACTGTTTCTTAGTGCAAATTAGAAAAAGGAACCCGGCCGGTGCCGCAGCTCACTAGGCTAATCCTCCTCCTGCGGCGCCGGTACATCGGGTTCTAGTCCCGGTCGGGGCGCCGGATTCTGTCCCGGTTGCCCCTCTTCCAGGCCAGCTCTCTGCTGTGGCCAGGGAGTGCAGTGGAGGAGGGCCCAAGTGCTTGGGCCCTGTACCCCATGGGAGACCAGGAGAAGCACCTGGCTCCTGCCTTCGGATCAGCGTGGTGCGCCGGCCGCAGTGCGCTGGCCGCGGCAGCCATTGGAGGGTGAACCAACGGCAAAGGAAGACCTTTCTCTCTGTCTCTCTTTCTCACTGTCCACTCTGCCTGTCAAAAAAAAAAAAAAAAAAAAAAAAAAAGAAAAAGGAACCCCTTCCTTTGGGCAGACCCAGCCCAAGACAAGGTGCATAGTTTGGAAATTGAGCTTGGGGTGAATTTCAGCCCTTGTCTGTTTAACTCAACTGGGTGCCTTTGTGCAGTGAACCACATATACAACCATGCATAGCAGACATCATTGGTATCTGTCTCCATGTAGAAAGAGGTGACAGGAAGACAGAGTCAGACCTTGTTGTCTCAAACCTTGACCGTGGATGACCCTTTCTCTCCAGCTACTTTAGATGCTATGCAGAAATTTCCATTTGAAGCACTGAGACTTCAGCAGCAGTCATAAGAGAAGGGCAGTAGGACTGGGCTAGGTTTGACCTGGGGGACTGTTGGAATGAACTGGCTGCAAGTGGTAGGGGGGTGAGAAGTCCATGATCCTACCCACTCAGTCACAGGAGGCGTGGTGACTCCAGGTCAGTCAGATTGGTGTCCACAGTAGGGGTCAGTCGTGGTAGGTGAGATGTTGGTTGACAGCAGAACTGGGGTTCCTCGGGGTCCCATGTTGAGTCTGGGGCATGGGTGGTGGTATGGAACCTTACTCTGGATACACCCCTTTCTGAGCCTTGTTTCCTTGCCTGGGGAGTGGGGGTAATGGAACACGGTTAAGTGAGGCATCACCCCACTCTGTAGCCGCCACAGTCCCCACCCCACCCCCTCCAGCAGAAGCCCCAGCTACTCACCTTGTCTTCCACCTGCAGGGCTGATCCCACATGACACCCTTCTCCATCTTGCCGATACACTTGAAAAGATGGTATTTAAGAAATTTATGGTTAAAAACCACACTTATCAGCATAGCCATTTTTAAGCGTACAGTTCAGTGGTGGAAGCACACGTTGTTGTGCATCGAACTCCAGAACTTCTTCGTCTTGCAAAACTGAAGCTCTCCATCTGTGCACACCAGCTCGCCTTTGCCCTGCCCTCCCCAGCTCGGGCAGTCCCCCTCTATTTGTCGCAGTGAATTTGACTACTCTGGGAACTTTATGTAGGTGGAATTATATTTTATTTTCTTTTTTTAATTAAAGATTTATTTTATTTATTTGAAAGAGTTACAGAGAGAGGTAGAGCCAGAGAGAGAGAGAGAGAGAGAGAGCGAGCTTCCATCTGATGGTTCACTCCCCAGATGACCACAATGGCCAGCGCTGAGCTGATCTGAAGCCAGGAGCCAGGAGCTTCTTCCAGGTCTCCCATGCAAGGTGCAGGGGCCTAAGCACTTGGACCATCTTCTACTGCTTTTCCAGGCCATACATAGCAGAGAGCTGGGTCAGAAGTGGAGCAGCTGGGACTTGAACCAGCACCCGTATGGGATGCTGGCGCTGCAGGCTGGGGCTTTAACTCACTGTGCCCCAGTATTGTATTTTGTTTTGGTAATTGACTTGTTTCACTCAGCATAAAGTCTTTGAGGGTCAAACACATGGTAGCACATGTCAGAATTTCCCTCCTTTTCAAGGCTGAATAATATTCCATTGTATATACATGCCACATTTTATTTATCTGTTCATTGACAAAGAATGTTTGAAACGCTTCCATCTCCTTGCTTTGTGAAAAATTCTTTCCCCTCTTTTATTTGACAGGGAGAAAGGGGCAGAGAGAGAGAGGGAGGGAGGGAGGGAGAGAGAGAGAGAGAGAGAGAGAGAGAGAGAGAGAGAGACTCCCATCCATTTGTTCCTTTCCTGATGGCCGGGGTTGGACTGGAGCCAAAGCTAGGAGCTGGGAATTCAATCCAGGTGTCCCACGTGGCAGGCAGGGACCCAGCTACTTCAACCATTACCATTGCTGCCACCTCAGGGCTGAATAATGCTGCTTTGATCATGGGTGTACAAATGTTTCTTCCAAACCTAGCTTTCAATTCTTTTGGAAACCCAGAAGTGGAATTGCTGGATCATATGGTAGTGCTATTTCTAATTTTTTGAGGAACTGCCATACTGTTGGAAAAATAAAAATAAAAATAGGTGCTGAGTACCCCCTCCTCGAGCCCCTCCCCCGCCCCCTTCCTGGGTGATACTGACTCAATCGATCTGGTTGGCGGAAGGAACTAAGCATCTGCCTTTAACAAGCCTCCCTAGAAAGCCCTCGCACCCTCCCGCGACTTTAGTCTGCATCCCTGAGCCGGGCATCCCGTGCCTGGACCTTCTCCCTCCCTTCCAAGCCCCGTCTTCTGCCACTGTTCATTTCCCCACACAGATGCCCGGGAACGGCCCATCTGCTCGCTTCCTGGGCACACCAAGGTGTCTTCCACCTCTAGGCCTTTACACATGCTCTGTTTCCTGTCTAGAATTCCCACCCCCTCTTGAGTGCCTGGAAAATTTCAATTCATGTAAAATTCAGCTTGGAGATTGGTCACCTCCTCCAGGAAAATCCTTCTCCTCCTGGCCTTGACGTCTCTTGGCCAGCAGCCAAGTTGAGTCCAGACAGAGGAGAGAGCAGAACCACGCTGGGCCCTCAAGGTTCATCTAAAGAGCTACTTCTTCACCCTCATCAGCAGATTTAGAACAAAGTTTGAACCTCACACATGCCAGGGTTGCCATGGTTACTGTAAAGGCATTCTAAATGTAGATGATTATGTAATCAGCGGGAATGACTGTTTTTTGGGGAAAAGTTTTGCCCCTCTTGCCATGAACAACTTGTTGACCCAAGGGGTGCGTTGACCCTGTGTGGGGTCACTGTGGGATGATGCATTTGGGCCACAGGCAGTAGTAGGACTTGGCTTCAGAGCACAGTGCACCACCATGCTGGACAAGGCTCTTACTGCACAGATGGGACAACTGAGGCCAGAGAGGGGAAGTGACTTTCCCTGAGTTCTGCAGAGAGTGAGAGCACGAATCGGGACCAGCTGCAGGCCACCAGGGCAGGGTGCCTTTGGGGAGAGGGCCCTGAGGTGACATGAGGCAGATGTGAGCATCAACATTGGTGTTTAGAGGCTCAGTTTTTTTAACCTGTTACTGTGGTTCGAATGTGTCCTCCCCAGATTCGTGTGTCGGGAACTTGGTTCCCAATGCAGCAGTGTTGAGGGGTGGGAGTTGGACCCTATTTTCAAATTTATCTGAGACACACACACATACACACACACACACAGATCTGCCATCTGCTGAATTATGCCTCAGTTCCCACATCAGCCGGAGTTAGTCTAGGCTGAAGCCAGGAGCTGGGAAGTTAATCTGGGAACTCCCACGGGCGAGGCAGGAATCCGACTATTTCAGCCATCCTTGCTGCCTTCCAGGGTCTGCTCGAGCAGGAAGTTAGATCCGAAACGAGCTGGGAATCAGAGCCAGGTACTCTGGTGTGGGCCATGGGTGCCTTAACGGGTGCCCCAACCACTGGGTTGGATGCCTGCCCTGGGGGCTGAGACCTTTATGAGCTGATGAGGGGGTGGAGGCACTGCCTTCGTGAATTAAGGCCATTTTCATGGGAGTGGGTTAGTTATGAAAGGGGATTCAGCCTTTCTCCTCTCTGTGTGTGTGCTCTCTCCACTATGTTACAGTGCAACACGGGACCCTCATCATGTACAATCCCTCAATCTTGGACTTCCTTTGCCTCCACAACTGTGGGGCAAATAAACTCCTCTTGCTTATAATTTACCCACTGCATGGTATTCTGTACAGCAGCAGCAAACGGACTAGGACACGTGTGGTATCACTGTACCGTATTAGTCAATGTCATTAATTCTGGTTGTTCTAGTCACTTTGAAATCCCAGCGGTGTTTCAACCATTGAAGGCTATTTCTTGCTCAAGACACAGTGCATTCGGCAACTTGAGGGGTGACTTTCTGTGTTGTGATGTTAGACTCAGGCTCCCTGCATTGTTGGATTCTATCATCTCCAAGCATCTCGAAGGTCATCAGTGGAGAAGCAAGCGATAAAGAACCTTCTGCCAGGTGGGGACACATGATGACAAGGGGGAGGAGCCGTAGACGGAGTATGGAAAACAGTTGTCCTCTGCCAGGAAGTCTGCTTGGAGTGTTACGCTTGGGCTCCATTTATTACTGCAGCCAAACCTAGACTCCTCTGGCTGACACAAGGGCTCAAGGGCCCTGGAGCAGGGGGAGGACTGGGGATGTGTTAAAGTCATCCACTTTCCATCCATATGACTCCATCCCTAGCTACCATGTTGGAATTCATGTCTCAGAGACCAGAAAACATAGGAAAATGTCAGTGGATTTTAATTTTATCTTTGTGCCTACCTTTAAGTAGCCCTGGACCTTGGGCAAGCCATTTACCCCTCAAAGTCTGTTTCTTTATTAAAAATGAGGAAAATCAATAAAGGCCAAAAGGATAGGATATGTATAGAACCTAGGACAATATTTTCCCATAGTAAGTACTCAAATATGCTTGGCTTGATGCCGGAATGTGTGTAGGACCTGGAACCTGCTGACCCCTCAAACTATAGCCCCTATGCTTCCGTATCACGTTCTTCCTGCGTCTTTGCATCGTCACTTTTTTTTAGAAGTTCCTAGAACATGCAAGGAACTCTGCCTTCTTAGAATTTCCCTCTCTAAACTCTAGACCCATTCTAGAACATTGTGATTCTAACAGGGGAGAGAGAGGCCATGTGAAGCTCTCTTAGGATCCACAGGGCTAAATGATGAAGTTCTTTTGGAGGCTGTGGAGTGACCAAATTTTATTCTACATGCAGCCAGAAACCACTGAACTATGTGTCAATGTCAGAGAAGGAGGATACCACTTAATTTTAAAAAGAGATGCCTTTTCCCCCTGCCCTGTGGAGAATGAACCGTAGAAGTACAGGACTTGAAGCAGCGAGTCCTCTTGATTGGGATGCAGAGACAGATTTGAGAACTGTGTTGGAGAAGGAACCAACAAAACTTGACTGGGAAATTGTTCCAGGACATGAGTTAAAAGTGGTGAGAGAGGGGCCAGCGCTGTGGCATAGTGGGTAAAGCTGCCACCTGTAGTGCCAGCATCCCATATGGCACCAGTTCAAGTCCCGGCTGCTCCACTTCCCATCCAGCTCTCTGCTGTGGCCTGGGAAAACAGTAGAAGATGGCCCAAGTCCTTGAGCCCCTCTGCCCATGTGGGGAGACCCAGAAAAAGCTCCTGGCTCCTGGCTTTGGATCGGTGCAGCTCCAACTGTTGTGGCCATCTGGGGAGTGAACCATCAGATGGAAGACCTCTCTCTTTCTCTCAACCTCTGCCTCTCTGTAACTCTGCCTTTCAAATAAAGAAATAAATCTTAATTAAAAAAAAGTGGTGAGAGAAAAGATGAAGACATGAAGGAGTGCAAGGAGGATTCCAAACCTGGAACGTTGTTTTTCCTGAGCCAGAGACAGTAGCAGAAGCAGCAGCAATATTTCATGGTGCAGTTACAGAAGCTTAGCCGACAAAGCCTGGAGTCCACTGATGGAAGGGCCGTCCATGGAAATTAGAAAGTAAACTCCCCCCAGTCATGGCCAGGGGAAATTTTACACTTCAGGGATAAACAGTCCTGCAAGTGTATGTGAAAGTAAACATTTTAAAAAGAAGCAAAGGGAGAAAAATCAGACTGACTTGACAAATTTCTCCACAATATAGAATACAAAAGAAAATAGCCCATCAGAGTCAAAACTCTGAAGGAAAAGCTACCCCAAAATTTTATGCCCGAGTGGGAGAGCTTTCATGTTGGAAGATGACTTAAAGACATTGTTAGGTACCCAGACACAGGGCCTCCACTGCTTGTATGTTTGTTTTTCTCTGAAAAAGATGACTGGAAAATGCGTGTCAACATATCGAGTTATGAAACAAATACTTCAAGAATGGAAGATCCAGCATATCGATGGTAGACAGTAAGCATTGAAATAGTTTAAACCTGCATAAATCTAAATATGGTTTTTGAATGGAAGAAAATGTCATGATCATTCTAGAAGGCATAAAATAATATTGTTAGTGAGCACTTCCTGTTTGGTAGGTAGTTAGTACTTTATCTGTTTTAATTCATTCAATTCTCATATAGTCCCGAGGTGGGTACTTTACAATCCCTAGTTTAAGACTGGACATAGAGAGATGAAATAATTTCCTCCAAGTCACACATGCAAGATGAGTTCAGAGCCTTCAAGACTAAATTGTGCGTCTTCCCATGTATATATTGGAGGGGATAATAACAATAAAAGTAAATAAAGGCTAAATCTTGAAAAAAAAACATACAAATAAAAATGTGTGTAGGAGGAAATTCAAGTGGAAGTTCAAGCCAGTCACCCTCCTACAATAAACATGATGCTCTTGAAAGAAGTTTTTAAAGTTTGTGTGATTTGATCCAGCAGTGCTACTGTCGATGAGTGCTTCCTGACAAATAATCAGTACTCAGCCCAAGATTTTTGTACAAGGATTTCACTGCAGTCACATTTGTTATTTTTTTTTTAATTTTTAAAAATTATTTATTTCGGCCGGCGCCGCAGCTGAATAAGCTAATCCTCTGCCTGAGGTGCGGGCACACCGGGTCCTAGTCCCGGTAAGGGTGCCGGATTCTGTACCAGTTGCTCCTCTTCCAGGCCAGCTTTCTGCTGTGGCCCAGGAGTGCAGTGGAGGATGGCCCAAGTGCTTGGGCCCTGCACCGGCATGGGAGACCAGGAGAAGCACCAGGCTCCTGGCTTTGGATCGGCGTGGTGCGCCGGCCGTGGCGGCCATTGGAGGGTGAACCAATGGAAAAGGAAGACCTTTCTCTCTGTCTCTCTCTCTCACTGTCCACTCTGCCTGTCCTGTCCAAAAAAAAAAAAAATTATTTGACAGAGTTATAGACAGTGAGAGAGAGAGAGACAGAGAGAAAAGTCTTCCTTCCGTTGGTTCACTCCCCAAATGGCCGCCACAGCCGGCACTGCGCCAATCTGAAGCCAGGAGCCAGGTGCCTCCTCCTGGTCTCCCACACGGGTGCAGAGTCCAAGCACCTGGGCCATCCTCCACTGCCCTCCCGGGCCACAGCAGAGAGCTGGACTGGAAGAGGAGCAACCGGGACTAGAACCCAGCGCCCATATGGGATGCCGGCACCACAGGCGGAGGATTAACTAAGTGAGCCACGATGCAGGCCCTTGCAGTCACATTTATTTCGAAGAAAAGTTTGAAAGCAACACAAATGGCCAAGAATGTGTAATTAGTTAAACAGGGTGAATTTTGACATTGAGTATTCATGTGATGGTATGTTGTATTCATGTGATGCTATGTTGTAGAGGGCCACGGAGAGATGTACCTGTCTGCAGGCTCAGCCAGTTACCAACTGAAAATACTTGGAAAAAGCAAGTCGCGTCTGTCCTGAACATGTCTGGCCTTTTCTTCTTGCCGTTGTCCTCTGAGTGATACAGCACCACAACTGTTTACACAGCAGTTACGTTACACAAGTAGGAGGTATTGTAAGTAGTCATGGGATGATTTAAAGTATATAAGAGGGTGTGTGTAGGTTATATGCAAACACTATACTATTTATTTAAAGATTTATTTATTTTAAAGGAAAAACATCACAGGGAGAGAGACAGGGAGTGGGAGATGGAGAAGAAAGAAAAGGA